AATATATTTTTTTAAAAAAAGCTTTTCATCAACATATATACACAAACATACAAATCCCACAATGGGAAAACTCGACAACAAACAAAAACTTTCCAGCATAAACTGGGTGGGGTGGCACATCTTTAATCCCAGCACTCAGAAGGCTGAGGCAGAAAAATCAGAAGTTTGAGCCCAGCCGCAGCAATTTAGTACTTAGTGAGACCATGTGTCAAAGGCCCGGGGAATAGCTCGTGCAAAGGCCCTGGCTCAGCCCCCAGCACCTGGGGGAAAGTAGCTCCAGAAAGAGCTCTAAAACCAAGAAACTAAGAAATTAAGAGGAAGGTTGGCAAAAAGATAATTTAAAAATCAAAAATACAAAACCATTCCTTCAACATACTATATAAAGAATCTCACTCTTCCGGGCCTGCCATGCCCCCAGGGTGTGTTGAGACAGAGGCTGCAAACAGGAGAATCACTTTGAGTCAGATCTAGTAGTGAAGCCCTGAACACCCTGTAGATCCTTCCCTAAAATACAGGAAAAAAATAAATAAATAAGAATCTCACTCTTAATTGTAGACATGAATATTTATTTATTTAATTTTTTTCGGAATTGGGGATTGAACTCAGGCCCCTCCGCTTGCCAGGGAAGCGCTTATTCCACTGAGCCATCTCCCCAGCCCCTATAGACATGAATATTTAAATCATTGTCACCTATGAAGTGGCAGAAACTTGAAAGCTGGGTAATCTGCACTATAGGTGAAGCTACTCTGGTGCTATTGGGTAAAACTAGACTCTCACCTCTGACCCTGAGGCCCCTCGAGGCAGTACCTCAAAGGATACCTCTCCAACTAAATGCAAGCAAGTGTGAAGCAAAGTATTCAGGAACCATTATTTGCTATTGTAAAACAATGGAAAAAACAAAAAACCCATAGACAAATCTGAATGAGTACATGAAGTGCTGGATAATATTAAAAAGAAAGTCCACGGGGGCTTGCAGGTTAAAGTTGTTTAGCGCCTGATTGGGCAAACTCGGTCGCAGGGGACCACGGCTGTATCCCCAGCCCCACAATCAGCACCAGACCTGCCCTTAAGGCAGCCTGAGCCAACCAAAAAAAAAAAAAAAAAAAATCCTTCAGGGTCAGCCACATAGCTCAGAGGACTAAAGCACCAGCTTCAGCAGAGCACAGTGCAACAGCATCGGCCCGTCCCTGGGGCACGCTGAGGCAGTGACGGGGTGTGATGGCATGCACCTGTAATTCCAGCACCTGGGAGGCTGAAAACAGGAAACACTACAAGTCTAGTCTACGCAGTGAGACCCTATAGACCCTGTCCTAAACTTAAAAAAAGTCCTTGACATAAGTGCTTGCCTGGTAAGCTCAAGGTCTCGAGTTCCATCCCCAGTACTGCAACAGAAGGAAGGAAGGACGGATGGATGGACGGACGGAAGGAAGAAAGGACAGACGGACAGACGGACGGACGGAAGGAAGGAAGGAAGGACGGACGGACGGACAGATGGACGGACAGACCTGATGCAACTGAAATGGAGTGACAACAAAATTTTCTTTTCATCTTTGAGGTGCTGGAGATGAAACTCATGCATGCTGGCCAGTGCTCTACCACTGAACTACACATCATGTTCCTAAGATGATTATTCTGTTCTTCCCATTTTGAGACAGCCTCACTGTGTTTGCCAATGCTGGTCTTAAATTCCTAGGTTCAAGTGATCCTCTTGCCTCAACCTTCAGAGTACTGAGATTACAGGAAGGTGCCACTGCACCTGGCCAGATAATACTTTCATTTTGGTACTGGAAATTGAACTCTGGGCCTTTATACTGACCTACAGCCTCAGTCTTGTCCTATTGTGAGACAGAATCTCATTTACTAAATTGCCTAGGCTGGGTGTGATGGTGCGCACCTGTAATCCCAGCGCTTGGGAGATTTGCAATCTTCTTGCTTCAGCCTCCCAGAGACAGATTATATATGTAAGTGAGAAAACAACAAAGAAAAGAAGGGTATAGAGAATGTTATTTGTTTGACATAGGGTTTGAATCCATGCTGGCCTTGAACTCACCATGTAGCCCACACTGGCTTCAAACTCACAGGAATTCTCACTTCAGCCTCCTGAGTGCTGAGATTACAGGCATGCGCCACCATGCCTGGCTGACAGAATGTTATGTTTCATAAGAAAGGCAAAACCAGGGGCTGGTGAGATGGCTCAGTGGTCTAAAGCACCTACTTAGAACAAGCTTAGCAAAGCACAGGGATCGCGGTTCAATCCCCCAGCACCACATGCCAGCCAGCCCCGCCCCCTGGTGGGCTGAGCTGGCCACACACACACACACCCACACACACATAAATAAATAAATAAAAAAGAGAAAGGCAAAATCAGGCATGGTGGTGCACACTTGTAACCCCAGCACTTAAGAGGCTGAGGCAGGAGGATCGTGAGGAGTTTGAGACCAGACCAGCCTGGGCTATAAACAGAGCTCAAGGTCAGCTTGACCTGCATAGTAAGACCCTGTCTCAAAAAGACAAAAAAGAAAAAGAAAAAAGAAAAAAAGGCAAAATAAACAAATTAATACTTGTGCTTATTTTTGCAAAAAGACAAGTATGGGATGATACAGCCTGGATATTCATAACTAAGACAATTTTAACCAAGTAGTGCATAGGGGAAAGGAGGGAAAATCCCAAGACATACATGTCCTTTTTTGTTTTGTTTTGTTTTTGAGACAGGGTTTCACTATCTAGTTCAAGCTAGTCTTGAACTCACTTTGTAGCCCAGGCTGGCCTTGAACTCATGGCAATCCTCCTGCCTCAGCTTCCCAAGTGCCCTCAGGCCCAGCTCAGATCATTTTTTTTTTTTTTTTTCTGAACCAGGGATTGAACTCAGGCCCTTGTGCTTGCCAGCAAGTGTTTATTCTACTGAGCTATCTCCCCAGCCCCACAGATCTTGATTTCTAAACAGCATGCACCACTAAGTACCAAGACTCTCTGGAAAAATAACTGAGTACAAGATTGGGAGTGAGGGGCCGGGGGGGATGGCTCAGTAAAATAAGCGCTTGCCTGGCAAGTGCAAGGGCCTGACTTCAATCCCCGGTTCTGAGAAAAAAAAAAGACAATTAGAGCTTTTGGAGCTGGGGATACAGCTCAGTGGTAAAAGTGCCTGTCTGGGGGCTGGAGAGATGGCTCAGTGGTCTAAAAGCACCTACTTAGAACAAGCTCAGCAAAGCACAGGGACTGTGGTTCAATCCCCCAGCACCACATGCCGGCCAGCCCCGCCCCCAGGTGGGCTGAGCTGGCCACACACACACACACACACACACACA